GAGCCGGTACAACATAATGAAACGTGGTCCTCCGCTGTGTGCCTGTCTCTATGATTCACTTCAGGTTTAGATCGCACCAGTCCAGCTGGTGGCGTTTGCATCGATAGCTGGATGGCCGAGATACCAGAATGGATTGCACACATTTATGGAATTTGTCTCTAAAGGAATTCAAAGACAGCCAGATGGCCTTGAGTCCTGGCACACAGTATTATGGTGCACCACCGTCACCAAACGGAATGAAGTGTGGAAATGTGCATACGACGGCAGAGACTTACATGCAACTTATACCGTGATCAAATATGTACTGCAAAGTGTCCATTACACATCCACAGTAAGAAAGGGCTGTTAAGGTGTTAAGTCAAATAATGTGTCTGGCATATTCCTTTTGGGTTTAGCAGCGAATTCATTGTTTTCACTAATTCAATTTGGAAAATGTGTGTTTAGTCAGCTTGTCTGAAAATGTATAACTTGTATGACTTATTTTAAGAAATACTTGTGTTATCAGTCGGTCCTCTGCTTTGTTTGTTGCTCAACAACCACTATATATATATATATATATATATATATATATATATATATATATATATATATATATATATATATATATATATATATATATATCCATGCATCCGGTTCAGAGATCACTAAAGGATAAACCTGTGTGACTTGGGCGATCCTGGCGTTTTATCTAGATCTGCTATCAGGTTGCCTGGATGATTGCCATAAAATGTAATACAGATATATCACATTTGTGATTTTGCATTAAGGTCTCTTGATAGCCATGATATTTGGTATATCCCAATGACAAAGATGTCATTGGGAAGGGAAACTGAAATACTCACCTGAAATGACTGCTGTTCACCACTTACGACATCTTTGTTCAATGTCACAGAGCAGATTCCTTTTCCATTTCCTGGCCTTTGCATATGATCCTACGGTTTGAATAATAAGGGTTTTTTTCAGTCCTTGTAAAACAAAGGCAAGGCCCTGAGTCAACAGGCAAACGTAATAAAAGCTTTTAACATATTACATTGCCAGCACTCATGTTACACTTATCAGTAATATTTTAAACAAGGGCAGATTTGGCATAATGGCAGGAAGGCGCATAAAGGCGAGCCGGTCCCCTGTGATTGTAAACTAGGAGAGAGTTCCTGTCAAATTAAACCGTGGTGGTGGGGGGTGGGGGGGCCTGTTTGCCTCTGGTTTCTTTGAAGTGGAGAATCAGTATCCAAAAAAAACAGAATAAAAGATGACAAAATGTCAGTGTGAAGCTGATGGTCTATAGACAGAACTTGCGTGCCCAGACAGCAATTACTGAGATACACAGCATACATCCAGACGTTTGATCTCAGCGCTCCATGCTCTCCCACAGGCAATGCTTTTTTTTCCCACCCAAAACTGTGCAGGGTTCTCATTTTTGATGTGTATTCATCTCCAGCGTTGTTTTATTTGAATTAAAAATAATGTGGAGTGAGCGATCCGGACGGCGATTGTTGGGCAGCGTGGCTGTAATCACAGACTGGTGGTCGCTCTCAAACCTGATAATGGCCATTTTAAAATGGAGAACAGTGGCTCGTTCATGCTGCTCGCGCACAACACCGTGGAAACAACTGTGAGCCGTTTCCTGCCGGGGGTGGACATATAAATACATATCTTGATGCTAGCGGCCATGTCAACTCTTTTTAAGCCAAACCACAATACGCCGCTCATCGCAATAACCGCTTCAAACGCAAGCATGCCTGTGATCTAATTACGTGTAACAACAGTTGGTACATTTGCAACTAATTTTAGACGGGATTTACTGCGTTGGCATGAAGCGCGGCGCTGCACAGCTACATAATGTCACTGTAGTGCATTAACAAAGAAGTTCTCCAACAGCCTATCAGCAGCAGTTAGCCGGAGGATGAATCACTTCATTGGTTTAAGTTGTTCAATGCACAGTGCACACATCTGTGAAATGTGCACCGGTGCAGAGCAGGAACCTTGAACTTGAGGAGCACAGGCCATGCAGGCGGCTGTCTCTCCCAGGCCCTTTTGTGACCACAGCCTTTGTTCTCTGAAACCGAACCAAGTGGCCAGTGAGGTGAGGAAAAAAAATCCTCCCACCCCAAGATGGTTGTTTTTATCAAGTGTGTCCAAGTTCATTGGAACTTGAACTATATGGATAAGCACTTTTCTTCCCAATGTAAACTCCTCCGTTTAACGAGCATCTGACTGCAGTTTTGAGAAACGGGCTGTTGTGGGCATGTGTGCGGATTGGTTTCCCCTCCGTGCCTCCGTTCCAGACCAGTCAGCGCAGCCTTGGTCTCTCCGTTACCGAGGGACGGATTAGCATCTCAGCTATGAGCTAAGTCCGTTTTCTGCTCTGGGATTCCTTGGGCTGAACTGGCAGCGAGACTTTGCAATGTGACTCTATTGTACACCCATTTACCTCCCAGCCAAGCGGGGTTAATGCTCATTAGACAGGCTGTGGGATGCTACAGATCTGCACTATACAGAGGATTTTGTACACCATTGAACCACTGTACCCCACTGAGAACCAGGGCGAAGAAGGATGAGCGCTGTTGCTTCTCGGGTGAATGCTACTTTCAGGTCTGCAGTGTGAATCCTAACAGGATGGTGTCCCATCTTATAGCTGCATGATCCTAGGAAGCGACTAGGAGGTGGTCCCTTGGTGAAACCGCTGAGCTCTGCCAGCTCCAGCAGGGTTGTTTTTTTGTTTTTTTTTAGGACTCTGGGTGGGCCAGCTTAAGGAAAATCCTCCCAGGGCTTTGGTTAACAAAATTATAAACGTGGTAGATTTATGTCTGCAGTGTCAGTGAAGGAAGCTTGTTAGGCTCTTTGGCCCGTCAGGGCCGGCCGGAGAACCAAATCGAAGGCAGAAGGACCCAATGCTGCTCCATTAGCAGCTGACCTCCCTTCAGCCCAGTGGAGTGGGACGCGGTCCAACGGGAGGACCAGCTTGTTGGCTGCGCATAGAGGAGCGTTTTGTTTTTTCCTCCCCTCGCGGTAGCAGCACCCTACTGGGGAATTCATCGGGGGCTGACATCATCTCACTCCGAGTGAGAGAAAGAACATCTTTCTGCCTTCGCTGTCCCCGCCCTCCTTGCTCTCTCTTCTTCCTCCCGTTGTCTCCCTCTCTCTCTCTCTCTCTTTCTCTCTCCCTCCCTCTCGCTGCCTCCTTATCAAGCTGTAGTTCGCTGCCGCCTCTCCTTTTGCGCGCCATTTACGCAAACGGTAAACCCGCTCGTGTGCGATTGACTGAGGTCGAATCCGAGTCCGTCTGGAAACCAGGAAGTAGGAGGAACCGACCGTGGGCGCAGCGGCACTCCGGCACTGGGCCGCTGGATGAATGGGAGTTTGTCTGCGTCTGGGAAGCGGATGGGGAGAGGCTCTTTTGCGCCTACGACCGGGATCCGTCAGAGAGCGCGCGGCGGCTCGTTCCGTGTGAAGTTGTGGCCCGTGCGCGTGTGATCCAGCTGCGTCTCTCGTCTCCACGGAGGGAACCGGCCGTGCGCGTCGTTGGATCGGTTTGCTCCCTCGGACGCAGCGCCTCCGTCTGCGCGCGCCGGCTCGCGGAGCCTCTGGGATCTTGTTGGTTTCCCCTCACGGATTTTCCCGACAGGAGAATATTTACCTGAAAGCCAGATCACATTGTGTCCAAATGAAGGACAGAAAGGTGGATGAAGGGATGTTTGCTCGCTCTCCTCAGTGCTGATGCAGTCGCTGTCCGTGGCGAGACGCATGGTTCTCTTTGTCCAAAAGGCGCAGTAGCTTTGTGAACGACTTTGGATTTTTTTTTCTTTTCTTGGAAAGGCTTCTTCTTTCTCCGCATGGCTGTCCTCGATCCAACCGGAGTAGACTTCGTTGCATCTTGTGTGGATTACATCATTTGAAAAAAAAGCAGAATGTGAAACGAGGTCATATTTACCAGCCCGAGAAAGTAACAGCCGGACTTATTTGCCTTCTCGCTCACATCAAAGGTATGCGAGCCGCTTGTGATCTTAGATCGCATTGTGCGTTTCCTCGCGCTGTCATTTATTCAGCAGCTTCCATTGTTTACATGCTGTCAGTGTTGCATTAGTGAGTGCATGGCCGATCCGTGACAAGCTCCTTCAGCATTTAAATCGTTGTCCGTTGGCATGTTTTTTGTTCATTTTTATGTTATATTACATAACTTGGCTCATCCTGCACCTCCAAACGGCGTGGTTGGTGTTGCACGGGTCACATAAGCTGTCACTGGACGTCGATTTTGGAATATTCAGTCATTATATTACATTAAAATGCGTGCGATGTTGTATTCTGAGGTGCAAAATTAAGCACAAAACAGACCCGAGGAGAGGAAATCCACGTAGCGAGTTATCAGACATTCATTTTATTCACAAAAGCTCTTCTCTCCATTTGCAGCTCAGCGGGTGTTGTCTCGTTTTCTTTACTTTGCTCTCAAGCTGCATTTACTTTGTGATAACAATTATATTCTTTCACCTTTCACCAATTGCGCGAAAAAAACTGACTCTCTGACTCTAAAAGCTTTTAAAAACGTCGTATAGTTTCCCCGTGACGCTCAGCAGGAGGGATGCAGGTGCGCTCACACGGAGCAACAGCGCCTCCAAGTGGCGAGACTAAGAAGAGACGCTTGTTTTCTTCAGCGTGAGACACAGTGTCGGTTTGGATCATGATGCTCACGTTACCCAACTAATTATGGATTAGGGATCATTTTGAGCCGCCCCCCCATAATTGGTTTTAAATTTGACCTTGAAGATTTCAAATTGAGAACATAGATTAAAATGATCATAACCTTTACATTAAAACCTCAGCAAACCGAGGTGAATTTAAGGATTATAAGGTTTCGTTTGTACTGGAAAGTTTATTAATTCAAGCATCGTAATTATTTACCATAACCCCTGTAAAATCAGTTGTCTTAAAGTGAGGTTTGGAAGTTTATGTAAAATAATATGGCACTGTGATATTTGATTAATTGCAGTCTTTATTTTTTTCAGATCTCCGATGCCAGTTCCGAGAAATTTTTCAACACAGCTGCAGTTAAAGGTACAGACATTTTGTGTTTCTACGGTGGTGAAATTATAATAATGTGACGTTGCAGGTGTATTGCCATTCCCCTTGGTATTAATACCGTGTCAAAATTGCTACGTGCATACATTCATGTTTGGTTGTTTAATAACGCAGCGCCTCCATGAAGCTGATCCAATTTACCCATCGCTGTGTCGGCTCTGAGATGAAAATTTCTCTCTCTCTTTCTCTGCCGGTATTTCATTTGATGGAAACATTCAAAAGTGCAAACTTAAAAGAGGCTACGTTGGCTGTTGAAGTTCCAGATGTGAAACATGAAGCTGCGTTGCGTTGCTGTTGGAGAGACTTTGCTGCGATGTGCCGGGATGCACCAAGACCTGAGCCGGCGGAGGAGGCTGTACTAATGCTGCAGGGAATGAAGGCCGGTTAAGAGAGGCATCCATTTATGGCCTCAGTGGGCCAACACCACATGTGACCTCATTATCAAGTCACTAATTTGCTGTTAAAAGCAGCCCCCATTTTCTCCGGCTCGAGGATAATGGTGGTCCCCCCCGCGTGAATGGACATTCCTCCGTAATGGGGGGGAGTTACCATGCAAGGCAGGAGGGAGGCTCGCAGACGAGGGTTATGACCCCTTCGGGGGCTGTGGCAGGAACGAGGCCGGCTGCCGATGAAAGGTCCGTCAACACCCCCACCCTCTTCCTCGTAGCGCCCCGCTCTGCGCAGCGCCAGCCTCCAAACACATTTCCCACATTCTGGCCTTTGATTCTCTCCTGGGCTTGATTTGTGGCATCCATGGGGGGGTGGGGGGGGGGGGCTCAATGGCCATGCTTGACAGGGAGGTTCTCTTTCGAACGCGCTTCTCTGTTGACTGATTTGGTTCCCTTGAAAGGATTAAGGCCCCCTTTGTGCAGCCTAAATCAACAGAGGGCCTCCCTCTCCCCCCTCCATGAAAGGACCTGACTGGGGAAACAGTACACAAAATACGCTTTCTCTCTGCTGCATCTCGTGGCCCCTATTCCCATTTGAACCTCTTTTCTTCCATTTCACCACCGCCGCCTCCGCCTCCTTTCCTGCGATATGCTAATCAGTGCCGCCATCGCTAGAGGCCAGTAGAAGAATGCAGGTGCAGGGAGAGCCAGGGCCACTGGTATTTTTATGGAGGGTGCTGATGGGAAACCCCAGCGCAAGCAACCGCTCCGACAGTCATGCTGAGAGAGGCTCGTTTGTGGGACGACGAGTGTCAATATTTGCGCAAAAAGGCAGGTGCAAAAGGGCTCCGTTTGTTTGACTGTGCGTGCTCCTCCTCTTGGTACACATGAAGTGCTCGTTGGGCTGAGACAGCAGAGATAAAGAAAACGGCTCCCGAACTACAGCTAATTCGCAAAATGTTACCTTGCATGAATGAATCAGGCTTTACTAACATATTAGAATATACCAAATAGCTTGATACTTTTGTGTTTTTTGGTAGAGGAGACAAAACTTATTTCAGATCACTTATTGCGATTATTATTATTACTATTAACATTAACATTGTGACGGATTGGTACAAAGACGGATTGGTACAAAGACGCACAAGTATATCTTAAACCAACAGAGCACAGAGGACGCCATTGCAATTCATCTGCTGATGTGCAGCTTTGGTAATGACTGACTGTTGGCTTTTATTCTCTGCAGCAAGACTGTGAATCAGCCCAGGGCAACCTGGGGTCCCTTTGAAGCCTCAGTGCTGCTCTCGCATCTTTTAATCTCACAGCCTTCTCACCTACTCAATAATTACAGTGTATTTTCCTGCTCTCTCAAAAGCCATCCAACGTTTTCTCCTCACTCTCTGTCTTTCTGCCTGGGGCCTACAAGGCATTTGAAAAAGAAAATCCAACTGATGAGACCGTGTCTTTTGTGTCATCAGACGGTTTTAGTCCTCCCCCCCCTCCCTCCCCCGGCATCACCTCCACACCAGACAACCATAGTTGACGTGCAGCTAAAAAGTCACCGTCGCTCTCTGCTTGCCTTGCTGTTTTCCTTCCAGCTCACTCGGGGTTCAGTGCACCCAGGAATGGATTTCATTTACTAAGAGTCATTAAATGTTCGCTCTAATTACCGCGCTTGTCAATGTGCCCCGCAGGTGTCAGCGCCAGCTAACCTGATTCATTGGCTGTGCGAGAGAGTAAGCACCCTTCAAAAAGATGGCGGTGTAGTTTATCTTCCACCGGTGAAATAAACAACTCCTCTGAAGTCTAAGCTGCTTCCAAGGCACCGTGGGCGGAGATCGGTAACAAAGCCATATTAAGACAGGGAGTGCTGTCCAGGGAGGGGATTGAAGTGCTGGGTTGCACAGATACTGCCGATAACAAACCAGCAAAGCGTCGCACCACAAAGGCCTGCAGACAGATCTATCAAATGATTAAAGCAGTGTCCCGGGGCAGTAATATCTCGTCCCCCGGTTACATTCCCATCCTTTATGAAATTGTCAATCCACAAGCCGTGGCCCGGACTCAGCTGAGTCATTGGAGAGCAGATACCAACGATCGCCGTGCATTGTTTGGTGATCTGGGCCCCAGCGGCAAGATTAGGATGAAGCATTTACAGGAGAAGGTTTGAAAATGTTCAGTGTGCGGAAGCTATTTAGAATAGAAACGCTGGAGAGACCGTAATCCTCTGAGCATTTTGAACTGCTTATTCCTTTCGATGCTGGGCTTGGTCATCTTGAGTAACAAGTTTACGCTAGATAACAAAACGATCCAATACGGTAAAACCTGGGCCAGTGTCGCCAACCCGATTTGAATGGAAGCAGCTGGTCGCACAGCTCCCAGAGTTTGGGATCTAATGAGAATTTCAGCAAATATCCTACAAATGTTTTTGAAAAGTCATCTGTTAGGTACGTTGGAGAAGCCACTCCCTCGTGAGACATGTCCTGCAGCTACGGTGTGAGAAAGAGTTCAGTGTGGGGATAAATTCAAGTGTACACCCCCCCAAAAAAAGCCACAATACTGATATCATGCTTTACTGGAGTTAATGTGAAAATGAAGCAGTGCTACAGCGAGACCCGGGCCGACGCCGGCGTGAAGAGCGCCGCCGGTGAAGTGTGTCGGGCCTGAGTGCGTCTGTCACTGCGGGAGAGAGTAATGTGCGATGTGGAAGGGGGTAATTTGCAGTGCCGATGGCATTGTTTGAAAAAAAAAAATAGATAGAGCGAGAAAAGCGGAGGTGAACTTTTGTGGCAGATATCAGAGCTGAAGAGCTCCCTGGGTTGTCGTAGAGAGCTCTGCTGGCAGCTAAATTGCCTGTGAGCATATTACTGCCGTGTGGGAGGCAGCTGAGGGCCTGTTTTTCTCATTCTCTGGCTCATTCTCTCTCGGCTTCCTGAGAGGTGGAGTGCTGATGGAGCCGTGTGTACTGCCAGGCAGTGGGCCGCCACCTGCTATAATCTCAAGTGATATAGAGAGCAGCAATCATGCCACAAATCACCCGGGCGGCTTCCTAACTCGTTCAGTGGACTGGAGGTTGACCTTTCACAGCACCAGTGTTGGTTTACGGCCCCGGGCTTCCCCGCGCTGACCCCTGACCTCTGCGTGGGTGTGCGTGTCAATGAATCAGGGTTGCCTGTGGGACTCCTCGTGCCCAGTGGAAAGATTACCTGGCTACCAGTGGCCTTTCCTGCCTTCTGATGAGGGCAGTCGAGGGCTCTTTTTCCCTAGACCCCCTCCCTCCATTCCCCCCCCTCCGGACATAACTTCTGGAATAAAGCGGTGTTGTTTTAGCTCAAACACAGGCTTGATTCACATTGAAAAAAAGTTTTTATATTCAATAACCAGGCATGTTATGAGAAATAAGACAGGGATCTGAAGGATTCAGGTCTGAGCTCCAGGCGTTTCCCCAGTGATCCTTGCTTCTGTTTGGTACTCGACCCCCGCTAGGAGCCATCTAATGCATCTCTAAGGGAGTAAAGGGAAGCTCAATATCCTGAGCCTCACAGAGGGAAGGCCTGCTCCTTTCTTCCTCTCCATGGCTGTAACTACAGAGAGAGAGGCTGTATTTCATGACCATCAAAGGGGCCGCTCCATCCATGCCTCATCTGCTGACACAGCCAAACAAAGGTTAACAAATCAAGGATAGCGCTGGCTGATTTACTGCCCCGCTGTCGCACACAATGGCCCCAATGCCTGCAGCTCACATTCACTGTGTCTGTGTGTAGGCAGAGATATATCGCAGCGCTTGAACATATTTCAGAATCATTAAATCAACTTTTTTTCTTTTAACTTAATAATGGCCTTGGTGATTCTGTCAAAAAGAGAGCAATACTGAATGTTCAGGTCTAGTGTGGCCTAAAGAGGTTTGCTGACCGAGGACCCGTTTCTACGGAGACGATATGAATGGGTCTGTTGGTGCACACACACACACACACACACACACACACACACACACACACACACACACACACACAGCACTGTGGGCCAGTCTGCCATCCACTTCGGCAACACAGAGAGGTCATTCAGAGTTTGTTCCCCAAGTCCCAAGGTTAGAGACTAAGTAAATCCATCCATCTTAATGCACTTATTTCAGCACCAGGAGAGCTGGAGGGAGACTGTGTAAACACAACGATATCCGACATGCCACGCTAAACCCAAAGAGCCTCGAACCCATCAGCCCCAAAATGAAAGGTCTACATCTCAAACACAAACATTTAAATGGGCTGCAGTCCAGAGATCAAAGTGAAAGGCCGTAGTTTCCCTGCTGGCCCCCTGGAGTCTGCCACACGGAGATATGCTGCGGTTTAGCAGCCGGTCAGCGTTGAATGGAGAGCAACTGTATACTGCACATGTCTGTTCCTCACGCGCTCTGAGAGAAGCTCTGTGCGTGTTTTATCGGTAGGTCTAGGTAAGGTAGAAGGATTTGGAGGATTTTAATGAGGACAATTTTGGTCTTCTGTTATTTTTTTTTCTAGATGTTTTATTTGTCTACTAAACACATTTTTATGGTGAAATAAAGGGTTGTGGCTAAACTGTAGTTTGAGTCTT